AAAGATCATTGTTTGGGCCAGTCGGAACTCTCTGAAATTTACTCTGGACAGAGAATATGTACAGTTTTAAGACAAGATCCACGACAAATTGAAAAAACATTTCAGTAATCAGGTAAAGTTATTTGTTTTGGCATTTTAAAGCTCATTTAGGCTCCAGCTTACCCTAAGCAGTCCACGTTTTTGGGCTTGGATGTGAATTGGTTTTGTGTTTCGCCTGTTTTTCCATGGAGGTAGAAAACCCCTCCAAGGGTGATCTGGCCGTCTTGAGCGAAACTGGGCATGATGGCTCTCCCCAGCAGCCTGCATGCTGGAGTCTGTGCTGGGACAGGGAAGGCTCCGAGAACCAGCAGTGCCAGCTGCCCCAGCATCCCGGTCCGTAGGTAACAGACCCAGTGCTGCATGGTGTAGCTTATATGACAGGCAGGAGTGGCTGCGTCACCTCACTGAGAGACTCCAATTCCCCTTTGATTTGTGACTTTTTCCACACGATACAGAAGGTAGAACATGTTATTATGCAAATACTACTACTACTACTACTAATAATAATAATAATAATAATAAATCTTTTTATTCATCTTGCGTAAATCCAGCATTCTATACCGTGGTATTTTGTCCTTACACTCGTGACAGGTTACTTTATATTCAGAAGCCTCTCTCAACAATAGAGATATGTCCTGTCATTCTGTTAAACTCTTTTTAGTCTTTTTATGTACACCATTACTTTTTGTTGGTTGTTGCTATTATGTTAAACCTAAAATGTTACATGAGTCTTTATAATTTTCATAAATTTTTTGCTATTTTTTTAGCTATTTTTCTTAGCAACCAAATATATAAAATCCAGATTCAAGTATAGTCACAATCATAAATATGTATTTTGGGGAAACATTTTATTTTTAATTAAAACGGTCACATTTCAGGTATTGTTCTATCTGAGTCGTAGGCAGATACAATGAGGAACAAGGGTCACCACTATTTAATCTAAGACTCAGCAAAATATATAATATTATGCAGAACCAGTGAAAAGTTTGGACACATCTACCGATAGAATGGTTTATTTGTACTATTTTCTACATTCAAAATAGATATATAAAAATTCAAACTATCAAATTACATATATGGAATTATGCACTGACCAAAAAAGTTTTTTTTATTATTATTATTGTTGCAGGGGACAGCACTGTGGGTTGGGACTCAGAAAATTGCTGGTTCAAATCCCTGGGTTGGCAGAGTGATCCTACCATTGGGCCGTTCAACAAGGCCCTTAACCCCATTTGCTCCAAAAACTGGCAGAACCTGCTTTCTCCTCCATGCCAGTTCCATGAGGTGGCCTCCTGGGATGCTTTTCCAGCTCCCGAGGGAGGTCCCACATATGCTAAGCACTCATTAGCTGCTTTTCCTTCACTCTCTGATCAAACTCCTCCAAAACCATTTCTACTGTGTTTAGGTCAGGTGGCCAGGTCATGTGATATGACATTTTATCTGTCTCCTTTGTAGGTAGCTTTTGACTGGTACTGTATATATTATATAAGCTCTTTGGCCAGAATATTAGCTTAGGAAAACAAACACATTTCACTCTTATCTTGAACACTGATGTACAACAAGGATGTGTGTTGAGCCCTTCATTGTGTCCTCTTCACCCATGACTTTCTAACAGCCTACACACCTAACGTCATTGCGAGGTTTGCGGGTGATACAAGTCATTGGATCGATTATGAACAATGATGAGACTGCAAACAGGGACACGGTGCAACATCTGACAGCGTGGTGTTCTACTAGCAGTCTCATCCTTAACACCAGGAAGACTAAAGTGATTGTGGAGGACTTCAGGAAGAAGAAGAGACCTGACCTTAGTCCTCTGCTCATTACCTAGGAGATAGTGTAGAGAGTTTCCAGTTTTAAATTCTTGGGGGTAGACATTACAGAGGGCCTCTCTTGAGCAACACACACCTCCTGCATCATTGAGAAGACACATCAACACCTTTATTTTCTGGGGAGGCTAAAAACAATGAGGCTGTCTCAGGACTTCTTGTGAACTTTTACCGAAATACAGTGGAAAGTACGTACTGGCATAATGCATTGCAGCATGGGACACCAGCTACAGGAGGGCAGAGAGCTCTGCAGTGGATTGCTAAGATGGCCTAAAACATCATTGGCATGCAACCACACACAGTTAAGGACATGTTTCTGTCAAGCTGTAGTAACAAGGTACTCAACATCCTCAGAGATCCTGCCCACCCTGCACAACACCTCTTCAAGTTACTCCCCTGTGGAAGATGTTAAAGGTTAATTTTCTTGTGCACCACAAGACTGAGAAGTAGATTCTTCCCCTGGTGCTGTTAAACTGCTGCACCCCTCCAACAGCAGGTGCACACGTGCACAACGTCTTACACACTCACATAACATTGACCCTCTTGTGCAATGTACACATTATTTCAGACTGCATCCACTGTGTTATTGTTTTAAGTTTAATTTCTCATTTCAATTAAATGGGAATAAAGTCTCCTTATTCTTTCCCAACAGAGAGGTTATGGTCTGTGCTCATAACCAGTTTTGGTAGCCGGGGATTGTTCTGCGAGGACCTCTGCCTGATCCGCTGCCTGATCTGCAATGCACCAGACCCTTATGGCTCCTCCTGAAGGTGGTGGGCCCACAGCAAAATGGTCCCACGTGGCTCATTTGGGTTGTGCCTAGCTGCACCCCATGGGTGAAGGTCTGACCATCAGGCAGTCACTGAGAAGCTCCCCCCCAGGCCTGGCTAGCATCTACCTCAGCTGTTACAGTGAGGTATCAGTCCTTTTTTGTATTTTTCATGGGGGTTGATTGAATCGCCCTTAGTCTGGCCCATAACCCAGGACCAATTTGTCATTGGAAACCCTGCCAAGGGCAATCGCCCCCCAGAACATAGCTACTAGGATCACTGGCCTCACAAAACCCGTCCAGTAAGGTGGCGATTCATCAACAAAGTACCAATTATTATTAAATCGGGATCATGTTTTGATAAGAACCGAAAAATGGAATATTGTTTTTTGTTAAGTATGTTTGAATGATCATTCATATTCATCATTAATTATAAAAGACATCACAAATCACAAGAGCAAGATGGACAGCACAGAATTCAGGAATAAATTCCCCCCCTTTTGTACAAAACACTACAGTGAAAAAATGATAATCCAATAAGAATTATCCAAATAGATATGGCCTTCTCTCCAAGTCGCATAACTATCAGTAACGTCTATATATATCCAAGCCACAGTAACAAAAGGCCTCAAATAAGTATACTAAGATTATAGGTAATTTGACAGCAGTTTAATCCAAAATCAATGTAGCTACACCTCAGTTTCAAAAGCTCTTTCAGAAAAATAATTTTCTTCGGGTCTGCTTCTATCATTTTATTTAGCGTAAAACATTTTTTTTCATGTAATACATTTTAAAAGATCAATTATTACATTTTAGATTAAGAAAAGTGCAGGCAACGAACAATTAACCTTCTCACCACTCTGCATTTTTTGAGGAAAGGTGAACAATTTTATGTCTTACTATAAGAATGTTTTAGACATTCAGAAAGAATCTATATGGATTCTCCAAAGGCAGTGGAGCATAAACAGCCAAAATGACCACTTCCAGTGATAGAGGAGCACAGGGGTGCTGGCGTAGAGATGGTAGATCAGCAGTGTCTCTGTAGAGAGCAAGACCACACTCAGGGACTCATAGAGAGACAGATAATTTGAATACAAGGCTGGAGTCTTTAAAAGGGTATTGAACATAGATTTTACTGCATCCCTGTTTGGTTTACTGTAATATCAGTTGGTATTCTGTGATAAAATGAAACTCGTCAGTGAGGTGCATGCTATGTGGTGATGTGTTTGTTAGCAGTTAAAGAAATGAATGGCTGGAATGTGTGAATGTGTAACTTGCAATTAGGTTTCTTATAGAGACTTGGTGGGCATTTTACCCATCAAGCTTTTTCTAGAGTTTAACTCAGGCTTTAACAGAATAATGTAACATTTGGGAACAAAAATGCAGAAAAGAAGACCGTAACTGGAAGC